TCCTCGCAGCCGCGATTCCGGATACGAGAGGGCCGCTCCCCTTTTGGACCCTCGAAAAATATGCCCCCCTCCGGGCCTCGCTAATTGTCCCATCCGTTTCCCCGAAAATAATCCTTAGACGTACGTGCCCGAAGGCGTCGCCGCAGATAACTGGGTCGGTCCACCCGAAATATCTCCACGGTGTTGTCGCGCCCGAAACATGGAATGCAGTGTTGTCTCCGGAGCCCCTTGAGGTTCCCTCTCTATCTCTCCTCTCGTCCCTCTTCCCGGACCGGTGAGACGCCTCTTGGATGACTTTTTGCCCGGGCGAGAGCCTCGCCCTGGTTTCTCTTTTTCTTGGGAGATAACCGAGAATCGGTTATCGGCACCAAGTCGCGCCCTCCTTCACCCTCGGGAAATATCCCCGCGTTTAGGTGGGGCTAATTGACTCGCCTGGCCCCGTGGGACACTTAGTACGTGGATCGGTATACCAGGAATATCCCGAGGGACGTCGTGGGACGCAGCCTCATCCGCCCTCCACCCCGTAGGGCGGTTCTACCGACTTTTCCTTCGATTTTCGTTTCCGGTTTTCTCAGGGCCTCGCCTACCGGGAACGTTTTGCCGCAATTAGCGCGGAGGCGCCTCTAAATCGGGCGCGATCGTAAATCCACGCGACGCCCTCCCGGAATCCATACCCGAAGATGTGCTCCCCCTCCCGGGATTCGGGACGCGTGCACAACGGGTGGCCCCGAAACTCTCCCCTCGATGCCGGGTGGACACGCGAACACGCGATAAGTTATCCGAATTATCGGTGTCTCGGGCGGTGTCAAATGACGCGGCTAATCGTCGAGCGGACCGCGGGTCGTTCTCGCTAATTTCTCTTGGATTTTTATCATTTCATGTATTTCTTTTTTTTTTTTTTCTTTGATTTATTCCCGAGGGGTAGAGGGACGCTCTGAGCGCACGTTGGGTGGGCATATGCACGGCAGGGGTGAACGGGGGAAAGTGCAATTTTTCTTTTTTTTTTCCTTTCTCTGCTCTATATCATTTGGCCAATTCCGGCGCGGATTCCGCGCCGAGTCACCCGGTAAGGGGGCGGGCTATCGCGGCTGCTCGCGCGAGTGTTATTCGCGGACACGAGCGATTGAAACGTCGGAAAATGGCCCCTCGTATCGCCGGCGTGACGTCGTGCGTGCATAATTATGCGCGGCTGCGTGGCGGGACGACGCGTTTTCCCCGCCGACCGCGGGAGATTAGTCTACCACGCGTTATTGCCCCGCGACGCCGACGCCCGCGTCGGGCCGCCACCTCGCAGGGGGTCCTCCTTTTTCCTCGATCCCCCACCTTCCTCCAGCTTCCTCCTTGGCTCGGACCACCCGCTAGACGGCGGCCGCCGTCCACGCGGAAACGCACCCTCCCGCTATTCAATTTCCTCCAGCTTTGAAAAAGCCCGAGATCTCCGCCTGGCTTCTTTTTCCCCATAAATTTCCGCCGTTACGGGATATCCCCGGCGGGCGGTTCGGTTCTAACTTTAACCCCGCGCCGGCCGCCATTTTGGAGAACGCGGCGCCCATCATGGAAAGTGGAGGCGCACCTTTTACGATATCCGTCCGCGATTATGCTCGCGGTGTCGACGGTGAGATTCCGAGGACTCGTTTGATCCCCTCGTCGCCGATCTTTCGAATTTTTCTTATCCACCGAATTCCGCCATTCCGAGGGCGTCCATTCCGTCGCGGAGGGCCTTAGATTCCGCTCGGCGATTTCGTCCCTCCGTCGCCCTCGTCGCGAGTCCTTTCGTTCTATCGAGGAAGCGTCGCCGGGTTGCGCAAGAGATGTCGGGTCCTCGCCGGGGCGAAGCCAGGACCCGGGGAGCGCCGGGGTCACGGAGTGACTGACGGCGCGACGTACGCCCCGACGCTCTCGGTAATTGCGCCGGGACGCGGGCGTCGCTCCGGCCGACGTGAAATTAGGCACCGTGACCCGGCAAGAATGGACCGATCGGCCCGATCGGACTCTCCACTCCGTACGAATCTCTTTTCGCGTATTGACAGATTCGCACATGAAATCTTGCACTATTGCGAGGTCCTGACAATGGCCAAGATTTGAGTAATACGCGATACTATCAATGTCACACGAGCTGATAGGAGGAACTCGAGAATCGGACCCCAGATTTAACTCTGGAGGCCGAATGGAGAACCGAAAGATCCGCCACATTCTCGGCACCATGGATCTCCTCCGTATCTTTTATCTCCGTTCGAACTGGACGTGACAATAGACTGGGAGTTTCCCCTCTCTCCCACCGATTTCTTATCACCGCGCGACACCCACCAAATTTTCATTTCTTTCGCCCGATTTTCGCCATTTCCGCCATATCTTAGATTTCTAATCATTTTTAATTTGCCGTTTTCTTGCGGGGGTGCAGGGCACCCCCCAACGCGTTTTCCCCCGACAAAGCCGATTAACTGGCGGCGAAGGTGCGGATAAACGAGGCGGAATCGAATGCGAGTCGCGCGCCTCTCGCGGCGGCGGATCGCGGCTGTCGCTTTGATTCACTGCTTCCTGCGAGCGGCCGCGAGCTGTCGCTCGTCGTATTTTTATCTCGGCACATCGCTTCCCTCCCCCCCNACCCCTCCCCCTCGCCCTGCCCATCCCCCGCGGCGGCCTTATTTTTCCGCCGTCTCTTTCGCCCTCCCCGGTCGTGGGATTAGCTCCCTCCTTTTTCTCGAATTCCTCCTCGAAGCCCAGGGATAGGCGCCGAGGGAAAGCGCGGGAAATCGAAACTTCCAAGGAATCCGAATGGTCTGAAAATTGAGGGGGGAGGGAACCCCGAAAAAGGAAAAATCGGAGACGCGCAACGTCGCCGAGAAGGAGCGGCGATAAATTCACGGAGAAAACGGTGCGACCGGGCGCTTTGCGACTCCTTTTCCTTTTTTTTTTTCTTCTTCTTCTTCTTCACTTCTTTCTCTCTCTCTCTCTCTCCCTCCCGCGTTAATCTCGCCGAAATAATGGCGAGACAATTTAAATCATGTCGACCTCGGCGGCGATAAACGCCCCGGAGAAGAAAGGCCCGTGTAGGCATTCCGCGCGGAATCCGAATTTCGCAACGGGCCCGTCGCGGGCGGCGGGTGAAAAATCGCGGATCCGCCGCGGCGAATTCCGCGATCCGTATCTGGCCGGCGGTCGGCTGTTATCGCGCGATTCTCTCACTCATCGGACCGTGAGAGATAAGTGTCGGGGAGACGTAACCTTCGGAGAAAGCCGATCCGAAAGTGACCACCGGTCCGTATCTTGGGTTTCACCTCGCGAGAGCGTCTCGCTTGGATTATTAATCGGCGGAGTTTTTGCGAAATCGCGGAATCGCGAGATCTCGCGAAATACAGATGTCGCCCCAGTAGAGGGGTGGAGGAGGATGCGCGCGCTAGTAGTTACGGCCGGGCGCGGCGAGTTTGGTCAGACACTCCGAGCGCCTGATGGACGCGGAAGGAAAATGACGAATAACGAGGATGACGATTACGGCAGTGGATATGTCGGAGCTACGTATTATCGGAAACTGACGGATGCATCCTTTGCAGGAGGCGTCGCGGGAATATCTAATGAGATTTATTTCCAATAAACAGGGCGTTTAACGGGCACGTTTCCTGGTCGGTTTGTCGGCCGGTCCTTGTTTCCGTGTTTTCTCAAGTTTCGACGGGCGAATCCTCCGGTTTTGATTTATCTCGGACAGGAAAGTCTCGTTTCGCGTCGCCGGTGCGCGCGGACGCCTGTCCGAATTGTCGCCGACGTCGACGCCGACGCCTCGGCGCGGCGGGCATTCCTGGCGCGCGGCGTGGCGCTCCCTGGTTAGCCTCTGTCATTTCCGACGATAATGGCGTCTGTTTTTAGAGATTAGCTAGGTATCTAGCCGGCCCTCGTCGCCTCGGTCACTATAAAGGCCATCTGTTCGGTTTTAACGTCTTCGCGGGCCGCGTGACGTCACGGCCGTCCGGAACCAGGATGGCGGCCGCACCGCCCACGCGGCCTCCGCTTTTCTCGCCCGGTAAGCTAGCGCCGATTTTCCGCCCACCTTGCGGTCGCATCTCGTCGATGAAGAGCCCACCGTCATCGAGGGAATCGCCATTCGGCCATTCCGGGTCTTGACGGTCGATCCAGCGGATCGATGGATCGATTCGCCGGATGATCAAGCGGAGGACCCCCCGACCAAGTGACGCGTCGTTCTCGTGACGGTTGCCATGACGATCTCGTGACGGTCCTCGGAGGCACAGGCGGTCGACGATGACGGATCGCTAAAATCATTCCTTGGCCAATTGTTTCGCCACACCTTGACTCGTCGATTCATTTTATTTAGATCACTCTTCGATCGAGGATACCTACGTGATCGCGGTCCCGTCGTCGAGTATCCTCTTTTTATAGGGACTCCCTCGATTTCCGCGTTTCCGGCCTCCGTGGGGATCTTCCGAACGATTTAGACGCGTCGAGGTCTCGCGGCGAGTTCTGTGCCAAACTATCGATCTGTCTTCCTGGTCCGTTTCCTGACTCCATTATCGATGAGTATATGTTGACTGTAACGACTCTTCTATCTGCCAACTGTCAATGACTCTTTTCCCGGTTAGGAGCGACTCGATAAGATCGAGGCGTTCCTCGATGGATGATCGTTGGGTGGCGTAGTGATCTAGTTTTAGTCGTTACTATTTTTTAAAAATTATTATTGGGTGGGGAGAAAGAAGAGGAGGGAAGAGGTGGTCGCGGTATCGACGTTCCTTGATCGTTTGGTAGGTCGATCGGTCGATCTCTCGATCCATGTCACGAGGGACGATCTCGAGTTTTCCGAGTATCCCCTCGAATCCTCCGGGCATGCATTTGGCTCGACGCCAGGCGTCCCGACGCCTGCCGAGAGGGTGGACCTCGTCCGAGCTCGGCCGAGTCCGGCCGAAGTCGGCGTCCCGGCGCCGAGCGTCCGTCAGTGCACGCGTGACATGGCTGCGAGCCGCTCCCGCGACGACGTCCCGACGCCCGCGATGTGCGATAAGGCGTGATAAGGACCACCGCGACAAGGAGGCTACGCTTTTGCCACCCCGCTAGGTGGCGTTATCGTGCCCCCCTAATAACTCGACCTCGACCTGACGTCCTCGAACTTCGACTTCCTCAACGAGTGCCCTGCGCGAAGCCGAACTCGATTACTCCCTCGAGTGATAAGAACCGAAATTTGATTGTCCACGGAGGTAGGAGGTGGGAACGAACGCGCGACGTGACATTTCTTGACGGATCGGAAAGTTCGGAAATTAAGTCGTTAAGTGTTTGGCGGCAGAACTTGAAGAGGCGGTATCTGAAGTGTCGTGACATGCACTTCACGTGTCACCAGGTTGGAAACGCTGAGTAAAACCCGAAGACGGTGTCTGAATACGTCAAGACCTTTTCAAGGTTTATGGGGAAACGTCCGTCGACGGAATCGACGAGCTGCCAAGTCGAGACTTCGGCGCACTTCGTCCTGAGATTTTTCTATCTAGGTCGCACGCTATGAAGAAGTGCACCGTAAATTACCACGCGTCAACCGGCACTTCCTTTCGGGCCGGATAAATTTCTCGAGGACCTTCGGTCGTCGATGCACTTCACCATGAACGCGTCGCACCGCGCGTTAGCATCGTAGAGCCTGAAGAACTCGCACTCGTACTCGAGCGTGCAGACACTTACGCAATACCGTCCGCCACGGCGTAGGTGATAAATAATGAGATAACTCAATCCCGGTGAACACCCCGAGGACATCGGAAGTGCGAGAAGTCGAGAATCGCTCGTGGGTACTCTTATAAGAGAGCACCTCAAGATCAACGAGGTCACCCGGGAGTGACAATTGTCACGTACGGGAATGACAATTGATTCGCGCCGACCTGACAGGGATCCACCCTCTCGCCATTCCCAGCGAGGTCACCGAATAATTCGGCGATCCGTCGTCGACCTTGAACCTCATCCCGCGAAGTGCGCGAAATCATTCCCAGATCGCGAAGTGCATTCCACGAGGTCGAGACTGGGAGGCCTGGACCTCCCCGAGGTTGAGCTGCCGAAGAATTTGGAAATTAAGGTCTGACGGCACCCTAGGGGAAAAGAAGTAGGGAGGAGATCGATGAAGTAACGCGTTCCACCCCGAAGAGAGGTCGGTCCTCGGCCTCGAGGGTGGCTGGGAGCGAGGTCGGGTTCGAAAGGCTGGGAACGCGACCTCGCGATGAGACCTCGGGGCTCGACGTGACCCCGGGGTCGACTCGACCTCGACCTCGACCTTCCTCGGCATCCATGTCGGAGTCCGTTCTCGTGGGCGCGCGGGTGTAGTGGAACTCCCGGGAGAGGTGCCGGGAGGTCGACGATGGAACATCGGTGAGGTCACGAGGCCACCACAGAATGCCTGAGCCCAGGGCGAAGCGCTGCAAACACTGTGACGGTACGGCATTTTGGTGCACGAGGAAGCAGCGCCCCCCGGCAAGGCTTTCGCAACTAACTCTAACCTCTCCGAGTTGCTTGGTGTGCCTCCGACTAACCCGCTAATTACTGGAGACGTCCTCGGATTTTCTCAAAACGAAGACCGCCGACCATGGCGAAATATGGACCCCTTCGTTACTTCTTTTCTTGTGTGACAATAAATCCTCTTGTTTGATAGACGACGGCCGGTCTGGAATTTCTCTCTCCCCTTCTGGCGCAACCTAAAAATGTCCTCCCCCCTGAGTTATCGATTATTAATTATTTCATGCGGTTGCTAATTATTTCATAGTGAGTACCGATATACCGACGGGAGGTCACGATGCGATTTTTCAGTGACACCCACGAGGGTGTTCCTAACCTAACCTCGAGCCGATCGAAGACTCGTCGGAAAATCGAGAGTCTCTCCGCCGGCGACTCGCTAAGGCGGTCCCCGAGAAAGTGGGACGAGACTTTCGATGAAAAGTCAGTCTTAATTAGGAACCGAGGCGGCCATCTTAGCTTTGGGTCATTCATTCCAAAGTGGCCGGCGTCGTCGCCGGACACTTGGACGACTCTTGGGGCAGACCACGGCGCGCGGAACGCATTCCGATCGGATGGCAGCCACGTCCAACTAACCTAACCTATCCGGTTAGGTTCTCTGCACTCGCCCCCTCCGCCTCCTCCTCCCTCTTTCCCGGCGAGCGAGCACTCTTTCTCTCTCTGCCGCATCGCCGTATTTTTATCTCGGGTTATTCACCCTCTTATCTGCTAATAGAGGGAGAAAGAGGCTCTTATCCGCCCCAAGTGGCGATTCGGGCCGATGCGCCGCCATCTTGCGAGTCCGCGGTCACGTGACCGCGCGGCGCCCTGAACAGTGCCCCTCGTGGCGGGCGTTTCGAAACCTGCATCTCCTTCTTTCCCTTTTTTTTTTTTTACCTGAAGGAACTGAAAATTCGATTTTCTCCTCAAGGTCGTTAAACTTCCGTCAATCCTCTGGGAAGTTGCGCGGCTCCTTCGGGCCGCGAATGCCGGGAGGCCTTCGTCGTTTATTTTCACGTCGAGCCGACGAACGGGAACGGCTTCCAGCTATACGCTAACGTCACTCCGACGATCTGGTTCCGCGATTTCTCGGTAATAAGGGATTCTTCGGAATTCCTCGACGATGATTCCCCAGATTACGCGGCGAATTTTCATTTCTTTTCCCCCGGGAACAGATATCGAGCCGAGGGTTTTCACTACCCGCGGCGTTAGGTCCTAATTTAGATTCGAGTTAGACTTATTTAGGCCCCTCTTCGTGTGGGGCTCGAGCAGCGGCTCGTCGGATTGTTAACGTCCGCGCGTTTCTGGCTCCTTGTTAAAAAAGAAAAAATGAAGAAAAAAACGGTAGGAGGGTAAAAACCGAGAGGCGGCGTACGGAACGTAATCCCAGACATCGCCGGCTCTCGTCGGATCGATATATTTCCCCGGGACCGAGGAGGTTGTTCCGGAGAGGTGGCAAATAACTCGAGGATCCTCGATTACGCGACGACGTGCCCTCTCGGATCTCTGGGGGATAGTTATTTCCCTTTATTTCTTTCTTTCTCTCTCTCTTTTTTTTCCCTACAAATTTTCGCGGCCCACTTCGACCCCCCAGGGGAAATTCGGTCGAAGAATGAGAAAGAGAGAGATCGGAGAAACGACGCTCTCCCACCGAGTCCGACCTGACGGAGTTAGGAAATCGAAGATGGCCATCGCGATAAATTTCCACGGCGACGGTTTTATGGACGGGTGGACGGTTCGGGATATTTTTTTCTTCCACTGCTCTCCCCCTCCCTCTCTCCGGAATTCCTGCGGCGTTATTAAAAAGTATATCTTCAGATACGGCCCGGGACCCCCGCGGGCTGGGCTGTCAATGTGACAGGAACGATCGTGGCAAGGAGTCCCCGAGGAGCTCGACTTATTTCGATCAGAGGATGGACACCGAGGATGGGACTCGAGAGATCACTCGACTAGAGGATCCCCTCCCCTAGTGCCCCTCGACTTTTTATCGCCTTGTTAAGTACAAAAGGTGTTTTTCGCAATTATTTATACCTCCTCGCGAGCCGCGCCGTGGCGGAGGGAAGCTGGCGGCCGTCATCATAATAAATTCCCTCCGGTGGCATATTTACGAGCTGACCGATATTCCCTCCTCTTTTTGCCCCCCTCCCGCCCCTTCGCGATAAATCCAAATCGCGATATTCGGCCCCGACGTTCAATCTTTTCCTTTTTACCTTTCTTCGTTTCCACCTCGTTCTAATCGATTACGCGTCCTTTCGCGTGCACGGTGACCCTGGTGACGGTTTTTCTTTTTTCTTTTTTAATGGGGACTCAGGGAAATAATGGCACGACCAACTTGACGGAAATATCCGCGGCCCACGTGTCGAGGATGTCGCGTGATTAATATTTGACACGTGCACGCGTAACCTTTGGAGGGGGCGGATATCTTTTTTAAAATCGAGGAAAATTCGCCGGATTCGCGGAATGGCCGTGGGGTGCGTCACGTCGTGCAAAATAAAGAGGAGAATCTTCAGTGTTTCCCTCCCCCTCCACCTCGAATCTTGTGGGAGGGCGTATGTCGCGTTACGTAAGGCCCTCTTTTCCGCGGCTCTATTTTTCGCACTCCCCGAGGCGACTCTCGGGAAGCATAAATTATTAATGGAGATCGGGAGACCATCCATAAATCCCTATGTAAAGTGAGGAGCGATATCGAGGACCTCCGAGGAGATTCGCGAGTCGTGGCTATCGGAGGTGGATCTTCCGACTCGCGGTTTAGTCAACCCTGGGAAATTGGAGGGCCTCCACGGGAGGGGGTTTACGATCAGGCGGGGAAATAATAAAAATCGGGAAACCAATCCCAGAGATCGGTTTTCGCATCCTTTCCGAGCAACTCGTTCGAGTAGGACGTGTCTTTGATTTACCGCCCGCTACCGGACGAGAGGACTCCCCGCGTGTTTTTCTATCTTTTTCTCCTTCTTTCCCCTGGCTTTTAGAAGGAACGCGAGGTGAGGGAGAAATGGCGAAAAGGAGTAAATAGGGGGAAAAAGAAATGGGGAAGGTCCATGGGCGAGCAGGGCACCCCGTGGGCAGGAGGTCGGGGGTTGGGGCTGGGGCTCGACTCGGTGAACCACCTCTCCCTCTCGGGGAATAAAACTGTCTCGTAGGCAAATGGCTCGTAAATATAAAGGCCAACAGCTGTCGATGGAAAACAAATTCTATATTTAACCCCCGGCCTCTGCAGGCCTATACTCTAACTCTCCGAGGCGGCCGTAAGGCCTCGACTTTACTGGGTTACGGTGGATTCTCGCGAGGCGCGGAATATCCCGGACGGGGGGGCCCCCCCACCCACGCTCGAAATTCGAAAAACGCCGAAAACCATGTCGAGCGAGAGAAAAAGGGGGACACTTCCCCCCGGACCGGTTGGCCCTCGATTCCTCGCTGATTTACGAAATTCGCCGCACCCTCCGCGACCGCGGAGGTGCGGCCGATCCTCCGCACGGGAGGGCCCCGATTTTGGGCAGTTTCAGGTAAAACGGGGCCCGGGATACTTGCCAAAGAGATGCTGGATTTCTGGCTTTATCGACTTTTGTCTATAGAGGCTGACCGGGCGATAAGCTCGGAGCGAATCCATGGGACGAAATCGCTTTTGGGCCCTCTCGGGCCCCCTCGATCGGTCGGGGGCCGCGTGGGAATCGGGCCGTAAACGCGGCGGACGTCGATTTACGGGGCGGCCAGGGTGGGGGGCGATTTTCGTGGGCTTTTGGCGGGCAATCGGTTCGATTATTTATCGGGTCGGTATGCGCGATGCGTGGGTGGGGCCGGCCGAGCTGGCGGGCTTCCAAGCGGAGACACCTCGCGTCTCAGGATTCCCGCCCGGGCGGGCCTTTCCGTGTTCCCCGTTCTCCGGACCGTGGAACCGTTCGAGAACTACTCCGCTATGTCGAGCGAACGATCTTAGGCGTGACGATTTTAAGGATCTCCAGAGATTTCGGAGATTTCCCCGGGACGCGTCGACGTATGGATTCCCATCGCGCGACGACGTCGGCGTCTTCTTGCGCGCCGCCATAAATCTTTTCTCTCTCTCTCCCGGCCTCGTCTTCTTTCCAGATATCTCTCTGGAGTTTGGAGAATCGGAGGATTCGAGATATTCGAGGGATTCGGGCGCATAACGCGCCCGCCCGGGCGAGCCGCGCCGCGGCTCTTCTATTTCCGTCCCGGCGATCGGCCATATTTGACTTAGGGGCCACCCGAGGAAAGGGTTAACGCTCCAAACCCAGAAGTCCCTCCGTGGCGAACCGAGTTATATTTCCGCTTCCGGAAGTGCACCTGACTTCCGGCCCTACCCGGGCGGGCGGATCCGCCCGTGCCAACGATGCGAGCCGATCTCCCCGCGAGATCGGCCGATTAATTAGTGCGCGAACCGTCCCACCCCTTTCCCACTTCGGCTCCCGTAATTGGCTCCGTCGTCGGGGAAACTCGACGGCGACGTCGGGACTACGTCGTCCTCGCCTTATAATTAATTTCTTTCCCTTCCGACATCTCGCGCGGCGATCTCGGAAAAAGGAAACCCACGCGACCCTATCTAGACCCTCCATCTCCCGATCCGATCGAATTCCGGCCGCATCTCGAGGTCGGCGTTTCTTCGCCGACTTCCGGTGCGTTTTGCCGGTCTTTCTGTCTCCTCGCCGGACAGGTGCCGCCGCGCCATCGATCTTGATCCCCCGAGGACCTTGTATCTCCGATCGATCGGGATCGGCGCGATCCTGCCCCCCTCGTCGCCCCCGGTTATTCCGAGACAACGCGTTTTGCCCGCGACCGCTCGCTCGCCGTCAGCCGGTGGAGGGACACCTACCAAAGCCCGCTGCTAATGGACCGGCTGTATCTTCCCTTTTCCCACTTTTTCTACCCTTCCCGTCTAAAGACTCCCGACTTTTCGACGCGTAAATATAGTCCTACCCGGGAGGAGGC